AGTTGTATAATAACTCCCGTTTTCTCAAGAGGTCCCATATTCATTGACGAATAAACTGAGTAAGGCATGACATTTATAGACGCCCCTAAATCTAGCATGGCTTTATCAATCGAAACATTTCCTATATTGCAAGGTATAGTAAACATACCTGGGTCCTTGCATTTTTCGGGCATCTTGACTCCTTGTAGAACAGCGGAGACATTCTCTCCCATGCTTACCTTCTCATTCCCAAATAACTTCTTCTTGTTTGTGCACAATTCCTTCAAAAACTTCGCATAACGAGGTATTCTTTTTATAGCATCTAGGAGTGGAATTTTACCTCAACACGGCGAAAAGTTTTCAATATCTCTTTATCTTCTTGCTCCTTCTTTGACTGCTCAAACCTCTTTGGAAATGGTGGTCGGATGACCACTTCGAGCGTTGCTCTTTTGTCTTCATCAGTCTTGTCCTCAACTTTCTTCTCACTTGGTTTGGCCCCAACATTCGGCCTCTTTCTCTTCATTCCGTGCACTATTCTTTTTAGGCTCGGGATCTGGTACTATCCTGTTTCGCAATGTAATAGCACTAACATTAGCTTTCGGAGGTTGTTCAGTTTGGGACGGTAACTTACCTTGATTTTCGATACGATTAAGTGAAACTGCCATTTGACCGATTTGAGCCTCCAAGTTCTTGTGTTGGACSACCAAGTTATGAATATTTGTTCTTGTCTCCTGTTGAAATTGTTGGGTGTTAGTTGCAAGAGACTTAACAATATCTTCTAACAACATACCTGAACTGCTTGAGGCTTGGTTGTTAGGCTGAAATTGCATCTTTTGTTGGAAAGGYTGCTGGAATTGCCTTTGTTGATATTGTTGTGGAGGTCTTTGGGCACCAAAGTTTGAATTATAGAACCTTTGTTGTRGTTGTTGGTTCGGAAAACCTCCAATGGCATTAACGTCTTCGGGTGTAACCAAGACATCTTCTTGTAATTGTGGACACGCGTCCGTAGGATGGTTCACCCCGTTGCAAATTCCACATGTCTTTACCTGCCCTTTCCCAACAACTAACTGCTTAACAAGGTTAGTCAAATCAAATAATTTACTTTCAATGCTAGCGGTATTTACCTCATTTACCTTTTGGGGCTCTCTCCTCATATCACCTCGAACAATAAAATGCTGAGAATTTTCAACCATTGTGGAGATTAGAGCCCTTACCTGAGTTGGCGTTTTATTGAAAATGGCCCCGCCACTCGCAACATCAATCATCTTATGTTCCATAGGCAAAAGACTCTCATAAAAGTATTGCAAAAGCAATTGTTCGAAATTCCATGTTGTGGGCAACTCACACAGAGATGCTTGAATCTCTCTCAATACTCGTGGAGAGTTTCGACATCTCTCTGTTTGATGCCACAAATTTCCCTACGAAGACTAGTGGCTCGGGAAGCAGGAAAAAATTTGTCAAGAAATAATCTTGCCATCGCATTCCACGTCGTTACCGTACCGGGTGATAGCGAATAGAGCCAGTCTTTAGCACGGTCCTTTAAAGAAAAAGGGAATGCCTTTAACTTTATTAGGTCCTCGGAAACATCATTAGGTTTCATGCTTAGGCAAACCACATGGAATTCTTTTAAATGCTTGTTCGGGTCTTCGTTTTCTAAACCATAGTAAGTGGGTAAAAGATGGTCTAATCCGGTTTTAAGTATAAATTCGGTGTTACCTGCCGGATACCTTATGCATATAGGCACTTGAGTGACATCTTGTGTCGCGAGTTGTCGGAGAGTCTGCTCCTTTCCTTCAACAGCCATCTTGACTTCTAGTTTTTCTTCTTCCTTTTCCGAATCGCTAGATAGGTCAATATCTTGCCAGATATTTAACCCAGGTGACGAAGTTCCCTCACCTAACTTCTTTCGAAGCTTGGCTTGTTTCTTTAGTTTTTTCGCGGTCCGTTCGATTTCCAAGTCAAGTGACAAAGGTGAACCTGTACGAGAAGATCTAGGCATAAACCGTTAGAATACCAAGTCCCCGGCAACGGCGCCAAAAATTTGATGGATGTCGAGTCCACCAAATAAAAAAATTCCAACTATTGGCTAATTACAACAAAAATTGTAATAGCGGTAAGTCAGGTCGTATCCACAGGGACTCAGTTTTAACTTGTTATAGCCACTAAATTCAAGTACAAGAACGAACAAATAAAATAAATACGAGAAAAAAGGGGGGGGGGTTGGATTTGATTAATTAAGCTAGGCATGAAAATTAAAAACTTATAAAAATGCAAGAAATTAAAAACCCAATGTTAGACCACTCTTGATAATGATGTTGAACACTTATCATTGATTTCGCAATTTATAAAGGAATATGACAAGATTAAGTCGATTATAGTTGTCAATAAGCTCTAACAACCTATGTTTTCACTTAATTAGACATTAGCTAAAATAAGTTCTTTAACTAAATCTTAACTACAAAAGGCACAATGAACAAGCTCTCACAATC